AATTACCATTTTAAAAAGAAAATTTAATATGAGAAACTTGGACATATTTGACAGCAAATCACTTGGCCCATGATTTTCTTTGAATTGCCACATATAAAACACAGAATCTTTTAGTGCCAGTTTAAGAGATGTGAGTGTCTCTTTTTACACTTTAGGATTAACACTCCTAAATTCCTTAAAATTCAGTGTTGTGGACATAAGTCTCTTCTCCCTCCTTTATCCCCATCAATTTAAATTTATGAAGGTACAAAGCTAAGAAACTCATGCAAAAACCTTGTGCACACTTTCTCCAATGTTTTTGTTATCTAAGAACTTGTTATGAATGTTTTTTATTATTGGTTGTGTTAGGCAGTCCTGCATACCATTGTCAGCACTGAAGTTGGGGCACTGGTTTTTGCAGTTAGTTATGGCAGAGAAGATGGGAAATAACTTTGCTCAAATAGAGTCTGCTGGAGCCATGATGGGACAGCAAACACCACATGTCCCACCAGAATGGACAATGAAAATTGGGTTCTACTTTGTGATGTGAAGCTCAACTAAGCTTTTATAACCAGACAAGGACTGGAGTACACATGTCTAGAATTATAGCCTCCTAGGAACTAGGGCTCTTGAGCAAACAGGACTTTATGCTTTAGTGAATGTAAAGAGTCTCAAATTGTCCCAAATCCCAGGCAATTCCATTTCAGAAAGAACTTTAGGACCTGTGGCAAGATAACATTTCGAAGCTTGCCTCTGTGAGATGATGTTCAGGGTCTCTGTGTGTAGGGGAAATGATGAGATGGGATGGAGGGTGGGAAGTTTGCATGTTAATAGTTCATCATTTTGTTCTAACTTGCAGGTGGACTATAAAGAGTCTCCCCAAGTCTTGAGATGTGTTATAGGGATCAAAATGTGGATACCTACACAAGAGATGGGGATGTCCTTTAAGAATCTCCTGCTTGATATACCTTAATATTAACACACAGATCAGTACAAACACCATGATAAATATAATGTCACCTAAATGCACAGAGCTGTTACTAGACCATGGACACCTTGGTGTTGAGCAGTCTAGCTCCAGAACATGTGGCTTTGCCAAAGAAGCACAGGCCCTGTCACTGTATTTTTTTATTGGATGTACTTGAGAAAGTATCACTTGCATATCAATATGTGGTGACTCTGAAACTGGTATTTCAGTGTGTTCTGTATGTCCACACTATGCTATGTTCTTTTTTACCCTCCCCGTTTTTTGAAAATTTCTTCTCTTATGTTCAATTAGCCAACATATAGTAAGTACGTCATTAGTTTTTGATGTAGTGTTCAATGATTTATTGGTTGCGTTTAACGCTCAGTGCTCATCACCACACATGTCCTCCTGACGCCCATAACCAGGTTACCCTCTCCCCCCACTCTCCTCCTTTTGTAATGTTCAATTTGTTTCCCAGGGTCCAGAGTCTCTCATGGTTTGTCTCCCTCTTCGTTTTCTTTCTTTTTTTTTTTTAATGGTACATTTTTTTTTTTAAAGATTTTATTTATTTACTTGACAGAGAGAGAGATCACAAGGAGGCAGAGAGGCAGGCAGAGAGATAGAGGAAGAAGCAGGCTCGCCGCTGAGCAGAGAGCCCAATGCGGGGCTCGATCCCAGGACCCCGGGATCATGACCTGAGCTGAAGGCAGAGGCCTTAACCCACTGAGCCACCCAGACGCCCCCCCTCTTTGTTTTCTTTCCATTCAGTTGTCCTTCCCTTTCTCTGTGGTCCTCTGTACTATTCCTTGTGTTCCACATATGAGTGAAACTATACGATAATTGTCTTTCTCTGCCTGACTTATTTCACTTAGCATAATCTCCTCCAGTTCCACCCCTGTCAGGGCAAATGGTGGGTATTCATTCTTTCTGATGGTTGAGTAATATTCCATTGCATATATGAACCGCATCTTCTTTATCTATTCATGTGTTAAAGGGCATCTTGGCTCTTTCCACAGTTTGGCTATTGTGAACATTGCTGCTATGAATGTTGGGGTGCAAGTGCTATATTGTTTATGCACTTACAGTTTCTAGTCTTCAATCATCATCCTGATTTTCAAATGACAAATACAGAGAATGACTAGGGGGTGGTTGAATCCATATCTGGTGAAATAAAAATCAATGTATATTCTGTTGACTTAAACTTCTTTCTATCTCTATCTTTTTTTCATCAAAAAATATATATGAAGTGCTTTAATCTTCACAACAGTGCTGCCACCACTATTGGTAGGCTGTTTCAAATAGCACGAGTTTCTCATCCATTTTTGGTAAACATAGATGTATCCAGTTTAGTCTGTAGCAATAATTCTCACAGTTTTCATAATGAGGGGTTTTTCTCCATTTTTAAAAAATAATTTTCGGGGTGCCTGGGTGGTTCAGTGGGTTGGGGCTCTGCCTTCGGCTCGGGTCGTGGTCCCAGGGTCCTGGGATCGAGCCCCGTGTCGGGCTCTCTGCTCGGCGGGGAGCCTGCTTCCTCCTCTCTCTCTCTCTGCCTGCCTCTCTGCCTCCTTGTGGTCTCTGTCTGTCAAATAAAATAAATAAAATCTTTAAAAAAAAATAATTTTCTTCCTCATAATGCCTGTATTATAAAAATCTAAGCAGATTGCATTTACCACATAAGAATTTGTTTATCCATTTCAGATGAAAATATCTATTAAAAATCTGTTAATTAATAGGATGCCTGGATGGCTCAGTTGGTTAAGGGTCAGACTCTTGATTTTGGCTCAGGTCATGATCTCTGGGTCATGAGATCAAGTCCTGTGCTGGGCTCCGTGCTAGGCATGAAGCCTGCTTAAGATTCTCTCCTAGTCTCTCTCTTCCCCTCCTCCTGCTTGTACTCTTTCTCTCTTTCTAAAAAAAAAAAAAAAAAAGGAAGGCAAAAAGATTCATTAATTCATAAACTTAAAGAAAAATAACTGATGACTGATGATAAATAACAACCAAAATAACAATGAATTTATTTAATAAGAGATGATATTTAGGTAGTGTGAGCAGCAAATGTTACTAGAAAGACCTGGAGTTGAAATCTGGTTTCTCCACGTGTTTTCCATGCCACTTAAACTTCCTGAGACTTACTTGTCTCTCTCTCTCTATATGGAATAATAAATGCAATCTCATCCAGTTATTATAAGGAATATGAATTAGAGACAATAGGCAAATGATCTGGCTCACAGTGTCTTCTTCATGCATAGTGTCTAAATGGTAAGTGTTATTTTTCTCCTATGAAAGAATATAAAAGCTAGAAAGTGTTTCAGAATAAAAATCACTCATCAATGAAAATTCTTGACTCTGTGAATCCTAAGGGATGGATCCACACTGCTCTATCTAATCTAGAAATGCCTATTTTTCTAGATTAGAAGACAACAGTATGAGTCTAGAGTCTCCAAAGCCTTGAGGGAATCAATGGGAGCTATCATGAGAAGGCATATGTATACTACATGAGAAGGGTAGGGTGTATACTAAGTTTGTGTGGGATGAGATATACTGCTCAAAACAAGCTGCTCTCTTCCCTACTAGTATTCCAAAGACTCCAAAAGGGCAAGGATTTCCTGTCTATTTGAAGTGCCTTGAGGAACTAGACAATGATGTTATAGAAATGGCCAAGAGAACCCAGGATCTGAGTCAGCCATTTGTGTGAACTTTTAGTTTACTGAATGTCCTAGGAAATCAGAAGTAACCAGACATATGGCTGTTCTCCCAAAAGTCATGAGGCTGGTACCTGAATAGCATGTTATAATGCTGAAGGAAGGAAGCTCCTATTGAATATATATTTTTTCAGTCTATTTTTGAGAGTAAACTCATGCCTTCCTTTCCCACATCCTTACCAAAGTGACTTTGTTCACCATAAACTTGTTATACTAAAATGATGGTTCAAAAGCAAAATGTATTTCCTTCCTTTTGTTAAAGACTTGCTTAATCATCTAAGGGCAGATCTTTAAGGGAAGCTAAAATAACATCCCCCCCAACCCCAAGCTTTTAAAATGCACTAAATTATTTGAGTAAACCATTTACAATTTTCTTTTCTTTTTGCTTTTTACACATGGACCAAAACCACCAACCCAAATTATTATTTTTTTTTCAGTGCACAAATTGCACTGAGACTAAATTGGGTGCTTTTGGAAGATGTTTTAACTTTATCTGGCCAAAAAAAGGGCATGTGGGGAAAAAAAAAACAAAACAAAAACACCAGACTGACTGGTGTTTAATTATCAAAGCCAGTTTATATTTATTTGTTCAACACAGAATGACAATTTAAAAAATCACTTTCCATTACTTTCTCCTAAGAATTCAAGGTGCTCATTTATCTGTATAATCAGTCTTATTTACCCACGAATGATGAGTCATTGATGGAAGGATGATGTCAGTTCACACATACTATTTTTCTATTCTTCCTTTTGCTTTAGCCCTGTGTTTCTGAAAAAAAAAAAAAAAAAAAAAAGCAAATGATACACACAACACTGATTTTGAGAAGCAGCACTAGTCTAGAATTCCTTTGTTGAAGGGAAATTTTTCCTGACATTGTTTAGCTGTTAATAGTACAGAGAATTCTTTGAGAATCAAGTATTGAGTGTTAAATCTCTCTTAATTATATTGGTATTTTAAAGTGCAAAATTGTCTCTACATTGGTCAGTTTGTCTAGATATGTTGTTCTAATCTGTTAAATATTTGGTTTGAGTTCTTCTTATTTATAATACATTTTCTTTTGCAAGCTTTATGACTTATATCTTAGTTCTTCCACTAGAACAGTCTGGATTTGTCACCTCTAGCAAACTGACACCCAAGAATGGGAGCAATTTACAAATATTGTCACCAAAATGTCTGCCTCGTTTCTGATAATTATTTCTCATAATCCTCAGACTTTAAATGAGCTTTGCCTGCATGGAGATAGCCTGCCAGTCTCCTATCCAACAGTGAGTTCAGATCAGCCTCAGTCTTTCCAGCAAGAAGGAGTGAAAGCTGGTGATGTACACATGATAAGAACTCTTTTCTAGGTTTTGCAATGGAACGAATATGGTTGCTGTTGCTTCTAGCAATTGGAGTGCTTCTGGGGTCTGCTCAGTTTAATGGCTACAACTGTGATGCCAACCTCCACAGTAGATTTCCTGGTAAGTCTGAACCTAATCCTTTCTCTAATTGCATCTGCAAAGAGTGATTATGTTTGAATAGTAAGGCCCTTAAGTACATAGGGAAAATGGAGGGAAGTGATATCCATCTACATTAAGTAGATATTAACAAGTGGCAAATGACAAAAGACATTTTTCTGGAGTTGTAATTTATATCCAGATTAACATACAAAGTGTTCATCATAGTTAATATTATTATAATGGCTGCTCACAAATGTGAAAAATATCGGTTATTGGGTGATAGAATTGGGAGAGGCTAATTTCATCAAAACTTGCCTAATTAATGCCCTTTTTTTCCCTCATAAATTAATCCAGACATTCAAAACAACCCTTACATGCTGACAGTTTTACTTAGGAATAATACTTAATAAAATGATTGTGAAATGTTGTGCATTACTCAAAAATATTATTTCAATGGTGTGTTGGTCATTTCCAAAGCACAACGACCAACTTGAGGATACATGGCCCAGCAACCATCAATGTTGTGGACAGACAGGAGATTTTGACCAGATTGATGGACATGTCCTACAGGTTCCTACAATCTGCACTCAGTGAGAAGTAATTCAGTGTTTCATTTAACTATTCATCATTTTATGTCAGCTAAAGTTATAGATTCATAGATAAACATTTACAAAATAAAGATTAGATAGCCTGGAATCATTTTTCCAAGTTTGCCATGCAAACTGAAATACTTCCGGTCATGTTTTACATTTTCTAAACCTGCCAGTACTCCTGTGTTTGGAGCATGCCAGAGCAACATCCGACTTGCATAGAGTAATCACTAGGTAGTTATGTTGTTGATGTGGGATTTCTAATTCACCTGAAGTGAGGTAATCTGTATCTCCAGAATAAAGATCCAAGTGTGTAGGAATGCATTCAAGAACCCAACTGCTTGGCAGGTTAAGTACGACCTGGAGGTCAGGATGGGGAATGTCTAAAGGTAAGTCAAGCAAGGTGTTCTAAGGCAGGGATGTTAATGATTTTGAGTACCACAAAGGAGGGCTTTTAAAAAATATTTTTTATTATGGAAAATTCAAATATATACAGAAGTAGAGAGGAGTAAAGCATTTGTACTGATCACCCAACTTCATCAATTATCAACACATAAATTTTGCTTCATCTCTCTCTTCTTACCAACCCTCTCTCTGGAATAATTTAAAGTAAATTCATTATTCATGTTTCAGAATGTGTATCTGATGGAAAAGAACTTAAAATCTTTATACTTCATGTATATGTCTAATAAAGTTAATGATAATTCCTTAATATATCATCTAATACTCAGCTAAGTTGCCTCTAATACATCCCCATGGTCCCTTTATTGACATGTGTCTTTAGTCTATTTTATTTTATTTTTAAAGATTTTATTTTATCCATTTGACAGACAGAGATCACAAGTAGGCAGAGAGGCAGGCAGGGAGGGGGGGGAGAGGCTCCCTGCTGAGCAGAGAGCCCGATGCGGGGTTCGATCCCAGGACCCTGAGACCATGACCTGAGCCGAAGGCAGAGGCTTTAACCCACTGAGCCACCCAGGCGCCCCTAGTCTATTTTAATTTATAATAGTTTTCTGTCCCTTGCTTTTCTAAAATGTTAAGAAATGTGGTCATTTGTTTTGTGGAATTGTGGCTTGAATCTGGTTGATGTAGCTCTGACGTGTCATTTTACATGCTCCTCTTTTCCCATACACCCTATAAACTAATTAGGGCTAGCAGTTTGAGTAAATTCAAGTTTGGTTATTTTGCCAAGAAGACTTTGTGAGTTATTCATGTGAAGTATTTTGTCTTTGATCTATAGGCAATGAAGACCCATTGTGTCCTTCTAAATATATTATTTGAAGGATCTGACCTGGTCACATTTTGTTTTAGAAAGCCAACTTTGGGAAAAGTGAAAGAATCAAGTTAGAAGAATCTAGAGGCAGAGAGAAATGTCATGAAGGCAGGTCTGTGGGAGCGGCAGAATGAGACAGCTCTTAGAAATATGTTGGTGGTGGAATTGACAGAGCTTGAGAGCTGGTTCAGTTGGGGAGGTGAAAGAGAAGATGATGTTGATGTCTTAGACGATGTTTTGAATTCAGATAACTGGGTGGTGATATTGCCAACTAACACCAAAAGTATAGGACAGTTGCATGTTTTAGAAAAAAAGTTTGGGTTTGAGAATAATGAGTTTGAGGAGTTTCTAGAACTTCTAATGGCAGCCTCTATCCAGTAGTAGAAAAAAATGGACCTGGGTCTAAGGAGAGAGGTTGAAACCAAAGATAGCTATGTAGGAGCTGAATCGCTGTAGAGTAAGTAATGAGTGGGAATAGGAAAATAAAAGGTAAGAAAATAGACTATTATTTTAGATAACATTGGTGATGAAGGGAAGAGGAGTAACCTGAGCCAGCAACTAAAATACGAAGAGAGGATTTGGGGATTAGAGAACTTGAGACCATTTAGTATACATGAGTAAAGGGAAAGTATTCAGAGATTGGGAATAGCAATAGAGAAAGAATTGATATGATGAGGCAAGAAAATATGGAAGAGAGCAAAGATACAGGTGGAGGAGTTAACCTGGGGAAATTGGTAACTCTTTCTCTAGGAGAGAGGGAGAAATAAAAGACACAGAGAAGTTGAGGGGTGCTCATTGTGACATGGGAGACAGAGGCAGAGACCCTCTGGAGAGTGAGGGCCCAGAGGCCTGGTTGAAGCCAGAGAAGGTAGTCAAGCTGTCCCCTATTATGTGCAGAAAAGAAAGTCAAATGTAAAAAGATTGTTCAGCAGAGAGGATCTACCTGATCTTGTACTTAATACTTGTAAAGGTAAATAAAACATGTAAATGAGCCAGGAAGAGGCTAAGACAGGATAAGGAAGTATTTTTCATATAGAAAATTTAAAAATTATGTTAAAACACTCACTTATAATGGTGCCCACCAACCACTTGCATTAAAATCACCTGGGATAGTTGTTAAAAGTGTTTTACCCCAAATCTATTTACTTCACTGTTTTACCCCAAAAATGTAGTGTCCAAATCTCTTATAGTGGTGTATTTTAAATCCTGAGGATGAGTCTAATGCATATTTATGGTTGGGAAAATCTGACACAGTGTATACTATTATTTTCTTTAGCCCATTATTCCAATTAAAAGCATAGTCATGTGTTAGGGGAATAAAATTAAAGACAAAATCTTCCCGCCATCCAAAAATGCTCTCTGTGAGGAGAGTAGAGATGAAAACACTTATCATCGAATAAGCATTAAACCAGAATGTGAGGCTTATCATAAACAATCCATCAGGAGAGTGCAAAGACAGAAAGAAATCTTACCCTTTTATGTAGCCAAGCAGATGCAACATATTACATATGTTTTCAAGATAAACAATAACTAGTCCTCCAATAAGAGGACTTGACAGCACCATTTGTCACAAATAGTTCATTCTAAATATACCTGGTAATTGGGATGACCATCTGTGTTAGCATATTGGCTTTATCTAGAGGAAAAATAAACTCCTATCTTTACAAAAGGAAGTCCTTTTGTAATTTGGAGCCGTGCTCCCTTGAGGGGAGGCTCCCACCCACCCACCTATAGAAATAGGGGGGCTATTTTCCTTGATGTTTACATTTCCAAGAGATGGTTCCCTGATCCTTGAGAAACATTCCTGGGTCATAAAACTGAGAGCAGTCATAAAACTGAGAGGCCTATCTAATCTTCAGAGGATTTATATACTTAGAATTACAAGTTTTCTAAGTACAAGTATTCAGAATTACAAGTTTTCTGATGTAAATGATTTAAGAAAAGGGAGGGAGAAGTTTCTTCTTTTATTTTAAACAGGGAGAAGTAAATCTCTTTTTTTTTAGATTTTATTTATTTATTTGACAGATCACAAGTAGGCAGGGAGGCAGGCAGAGAGAGAGGGGGAAGCAGGCTCCCTGCAAAGCAGGGAGCCTGATGTGGGGCTTTGTCCCAGGACCCTGAGATCATGACCTGAGCCGAAGGCAGAGGCTTAACCCACTGAGCCACCCAGGCACCCCTAAACCTCTTAATTTGTATTTGTCCTTATACATGTTAAAACTTCTAGTACTGTTCAGCTTAGAGAACAAATATCCAGACTTTCTAAATGTACACGCATGTGCACGCACTCACATGTGTACACGCACACACATATTATTGCAATGAAAAATTTATATTAAAGAAGTCTAAGATCCGGATAACTCAGAAGTCCCAGGAGAGGCTTTAAGTTTATATGGGTATTATTTTCAAGTAAGCCTATTTTTGCAGGTCATTTGCAGAAGACTAGAATGAGCAAATAAAGCATAAAGGTTAATTGCTCACTCCCCTCTTGACTTGTGGCTTCTCTTTCACATCAGGATCACCCTTGATGTCATCAGGAGTTCCACAAGCTGCTTAGATACTAAGCAATGGGGTAGAATGAGAATGAGCCTGGCAAAGGAGAGGGACTATCTAAATGCAAAGTAATGTTAATAATGATGAAAGTAATCATCTCACCCTATCTGACCTTTGCTGTTTCATGACATTAGAACTATTTTTTTAATTTCCATGGCATTTATCCTTGGGCCAAGGGAACTGCCATGGTTTAATTCATTTTAAATTTAAAGGGACCCCATTTAATTTTAAAGGTAGTTAACTCTTGGCTATCCAAGCTGATAGTAGGGGACAGACTATACCCCACTGACATTATGGTAACGCTCTTTCCAGAATAAAATTCAAACCACAGTTGACTTTTAGAGTACCACAGAATTATTTAGCCTAAATTAGATATATGGATAAATGCATTTGGCCTCTGTGACCAACAAATACCTTTCTGGAACTACCCCACCTTTTGGAAGGTGGTAGCATATAAGGGTTAGCCTCTAAGAAGTCTTTAATGATAAAGGCACCATGGAGGAAAGATGAGGCTTATAGCACCAGAAACTGTGGCACGGCGCTCTCTTATAGTGAACTAACCACTCATGGGAAACTGAATATATCAGTGTTACACAACTTGTCATTTT